GAGGATACGATTTCCCTTGGAGTCAGGACTGCTATGTAGGAAACATTAACCAGTAAGTAGATCAGTGCCACAAGGGTAAGTGCAGTAATCACACATTTGGGGATAGTCACACTAGGGTTTTTCAGCTCTCCTGCAAAAAAAAAAAAGCCACTCATAAAAAATGATGAATTATATAACCTTTGAAAGTGGTTTCAATGTTAACATGTATTAAGAAAAAGAAATGACTGCATGCAGCAAGAGTTCATTTTTGTTGAATGTTTATTTACTATGTCTTTGGTGAACTATTGATTGTAGAAGCAACAGCATGGTGCTAATTTCTGGGTTTCAAAGTTATATATCTGTTATACTCAACATGAGCCTCTTGGATAAGAAAACAACTCAGAAAACCTGGATTCTAGGTCAGGAGGGCTGGAACAAATCTTCCTTTCCCTTACGGCCAACACTGTAGAACTATAACTAGGTGTTAACGAAGGTTTGGAACAGCTTAACTGGTCACAACATCCCAGGACTTTAGGATAGACTCTCCTGCTATTTTTACTCCTCGGATTAAGTCTCTACACTAATTAAACCTTGGCTTAAACTTGAGTGTATATTGCCAACACCGAAACTGACATAGGTGTTTAACTGTTTGGAAAATAGAAAATTATATTATTAACTCACACCATGCAACTCCTTCAAAATAATTCATGTGTATTAAAAAGTAAAATATAAAGTAAGACAATACAGATTTAGAGAAAGTAGCATAGACACATATTTATCTAAATCTTGAGATGGGGAAAGACTTCTCAAGCATGAAAACAATGAAAAATTAGAAGACTGATAGTTTGATACTACAGGTATTAAACTTCTAGTCTTAAAAATCTTATGAAGAAAAACTGTAAAATCCAACAAACTGGGAAAAATATTTACATGTCTTTCAAAGAAGAAATGTAAATGGTCATGAACATTTGCAAAACTCTCCCCTCCCATTAGAAATTGAAGAAAAAGTGAGTTCTAACACTGAAACTTGATTTCCACAAATCTAAAGGTATGTAAAAAGGTATGATGATGCCAAGAGTAGTCATTTTAATTCACACTGGTAGATATATTTGTAGAGCCTTTCTGGAAGACAATTTGGCAATATTTCTCAAGACATTTCTAAATATTTGTTTCACTTTGTAAGTTTACTTCAAAAATTTTTTTCTAATAAAGCAATGAGAAACCCACAAAGATCCACATAAAAGGATGCTTATTGGAACAATAAGTATAAAATTTTAAAGTGAAAAACTGGGAACAATCCTGGGATCCAACAGTGAAAAAATGTTTGGAAAATGGTCAAATTTTGTAAGATAGAATACTGTGTATTCAAGAAAAACATTAATATTTAATAATATTTATGAATTCTCACTATACACTTTAAGTAAAATAAAGTTAAAAAGAGTAAATGAGCAGTGTGATCCCCACATGTGTGTATATACAAAGCAATTGGTTACAGATAATCTTTATTTTAATTTATAATTTCCTGGATTTCAAATTTTTTCTCTGGTGAGGGTCTGTTATAATTAGGAATTGTAGGCTATTAAAATATTTGTTCACTTAAAAAAATGCAATTGCTGTGGAGTCCTTAAGCCATGTCAATTTTATGTTTACTTGTTTTAATTTGTAAACACCTGGAAAATATTTTGCTTTCCCAAGTTGGAAAGCCACATTTGTAGAGAGTTTAATGCGTTTCTATCCATCTGATGAAAGCAACAGAGAGACACATTATAGCAAAACAATGTACTATTTCTTTCTTAGAATTAAGCTGTTTAAATTAACCACTATGTTTTTATAGCCTCTTGGTATTTTTTATAATTAAAAAATAATAACTTTACCTGCTATTCGAACAAGGACTCCCCAGCCAGAATATGCATATAGTCCTTGTAAGAAGGCTTCTGCAATCTGCGAGGCATTTGGAACTTCACCGTCGAAAGCGTTCTCAAACCTGGCAAGGTTCTCCTTTCTTCCTCTCACCACCAACACGAGTCCAGTTACAGATATGAAGCAGAGAACTGTCATTTTCACAACGGTACTGACAGTCTGAAACCAAGTCACTTCCTTCACTCCTCGAGCATTCAGAATTCCCAAGCACCATAAAATGGCCAGCGCTAAACATTTCTTCGGCATCTCGGGAACAAAGCATCCGGGATAGAAAGGCTGGGTGATATACCCTGCTAGTAACAAGCCACGGGCAGCAATTCCGGCAGGGGTACTAAACAGATTGATCCAGAGATAGAAGAAAGCAATGAAAGGCCCAAGAGATCTCTTGAGGAAATAATACTGTGCTCCACTCCGAGGGAAGGTGGTCCCCAGCTCGGCGTGGCTCAGAGCGGCCATCGTAGACACTACGGCGCAAGCCGCCCAAATGCTTAGGGAGACCCCCACGTTGAGCGAAGAGTACTTTAGCACCCCTTTAGGAGCAACAAATATTCCTGCACCTATTATGATACTGAATAAAAAAATTGTTCCGTGGAAATATCCTATTACCCGTTGAAGCTGAGTACTTCCTCCCATCTTCATTAATTTAATGAATTTTAACAGCTAACATAAATTCACAGTTTCTACTCCGTTCTTCTCGTGAAAGGCTTCAGGCAATCTTCTCACAGTTAAGTGCTTTGCTCTCCTCCTCTTGTCTTACTCAAACAGATTTTGTTCCAGCACCGAACGTAATTAAAAAAAAATTAACTTATGAGTTAACTGAACTCAAGTTTCTGAGATCTTAATATCAGAGTTAAAATGTTTTACACGTTAAGCTTTTTAACAGTTATGCACAATTAAACAAGTTAGACACAGCTAATTGGGAGTGAGAGATGAAAAATTCCAAGTCAGGTTTCTTCTATGGATATGTAACCTCATTAATTTTGATCCTTAAACAAGTAATTCTTTAAGTTTGTACCATGAGGAAGTTCTTGTAGCATGACAAAAAGAACAAGGTTTGAATCACATGTTTGCCACTTGTTAGCCGATTTTGGTTTGAATCACACATATAGTGCCACTTACTGACAAATTTATGTTACTTAATGATTTTGGATTTTGTTGTTTTAAAAACTAGCACTAACACTCCCTATCTTATTCCCAATCTTATTTCCCCCTTAAGAGAATTAAATAAGGCAATTTACTGATGAAGCAAATAGGAATGCAACGCTCCTAGGAGTTATACCTAATATACCTTACCTGTCCATTCATGTTAGTTTCATAATTTAGTTATTTTAATTACCACTATCTGCATTATACACAGCTTCGGCTTCTCTACAGTGCTTTAAAAACATTTTGCAGTTACTTGAAAATTAGACTTAATTTTTGACAAACAGGTCACAGTACACATATATAGGGTTTTAAATTTCCCCCACCAATCCCCTTGTAGGGGCATAATTCATCCTTTCAGCATTATTTTTTTCTATATTTTCAGCTACTTATTGATTTAGGAAAATTTTTGAGCATCTGATTTTTTTCTAGGTCCTGTGTGAATCAATACATGTACAGGAATGACTAAGACATGGTCTTGTTCACTATTTTACCCCTGATACCTGGTCCAGCTCGTGGTACACAGTATGTCTCAGTAAATCTGTTAAATTAGTGATCCTTATCCTCTAGAAGCTCCTATCTAGAGAAGAAGATGTATATAAACCCAGATTTTTTCCCCCACTTAACCACTTTTATTCTTTTTATTAAAAAAATTTTTTGGTAACATTTTATTTTTATTGAAGTATAAATCAGTTACAATGTGTCAGTTTCTAGTATACAGCATAATGTCCCAGTCATGCATATATATATATAATATACACACACATATATATGTGTGTATATATATATATTCATTTTCATTAAAGGTTATTACAAGATATTGAATATGGTTCCTCATGCTGTACAGAAGAAATTTGTTTTTTATCTATTTTTATATATAGTGGTTAACATTTGCAAATCTCGAACTCCCAAATTTATACCTTCCCATCCCCTTTCCCTGGTAACCATAAGATTTAAACCAAGACTTTTTATATACCCGTTGTGAGCTTCAACATGGTTATACTAATAATGGCGAACATTTAAATGGTACCAACTATGTGCCAGGAACTATGTTTAATACTTGTATTAACTCATTAAGTCACATCAAGCACCATACAGTACCAATAGATGAGAAATGAAAGCGTAAGAAATGCCAAATGCTGGAGAGGCTGTGAAGAAAGGGGAACCCTCCTACACTGCTGGTGGCAATGCAATTTGGTGCAGCCACTGTAGAAAACAGTATGGAGATTCCTCAAAAGACTAGGAATAGACTTACCATATGACCCAGGAATCCTGCTCCTGGGCATATATCCAGAAGGAACCCTACTTCAGGATGACACCTGCACCCCAATGTTCATAGCAGCACTATTTACAATAGCCAAGACATGGAGACAGCCTAAATGTCCATCAACGGATGACTGGATAAAGAAGAGGTGGTATATTTATACAATGGAATACTATTCAGCCATAAAAACTGACAACATAACACCATTTGCAGCAACATGGATGCTCCTGGAGAATGTCATTCTAAGTGCAGTAAGCTAGAAAGAGAAAGAAAAATACCATATGAGATCGCTCATATGTGGAATCTAAAAAAAAAAAACCACACAAACAAAGCATAAATACAAAACAGAAATATACTCATAGACATAGAATACAAACTTGTGGTTGCCAAGGGTGCAGAGGGAGGGAAGGGATAGACTGGGATTTCAAAATTGTAGAATAGATAAACAAGATTATACTGTATAGCACAGGGAAATATATACAAGATCATATGGTAGCTCATGGAGAAAAAAATGTGACAATGAATATATATATGTTCATGTACAACTGAAAAATTGTGCTCTACACTGGAATTTGACACAACGTTGTAAAATGATTATAAATCAATAAAAAATGTTAAAAAAAAGAAATTTAGGTAATTTACCAAGGTCACCCAGCTATTCACTTTAATTAATTAATTAGTTTTGATGTGATTGTACATATCTATTTATATATAGTTATGATTTTACTCGTAAATAAATAAAT